TACATATATATATTATTACAAATATTGTATACATAATAATTTAGATCAAATTATGAATATTTCGTAAATATTATGATTAAAGTTAATTGTTATTTCAAATATTCAATCGTAGCATATTATTGGCAGTTTAATTATACTTATCGTAGATAATAGTACTTTAACGAAAAGCCCAGATTGCCGTATCAGATATTGTATACATTAAAGCTGAACTTCATTAATTTTAACAAACTACAGGTAGTCGGTTTAAAGCTGTTCCTTCGGTACGACCGTCTTCTCTATATTATAAGAAGTTTCAATAATTTTATCTCTGTCTTAAGTTAGTGTCAAAACTGGAAGGATCAGGCTGAGACTCTGCTCTACACTGTTACTTAAATCGTAATACTTAAATCCGTAAGCCTAAGTAAGTAATCGTTTAATTAGAAATCTTTGTAGACGTTATTAAATTAATTTCTTTTCTTTTTCTTTTTTTTTTTCATTTCATAATAATATTTAACGAATAATTCAAATTGTTAATAAGTTATACATTACTGATAAGATAAAATAAAGTATATACATACATATATATATGACTAGTTTTTACAACGAATAAATTATACGGTCTCGTTGATGAAAAAAAAAAAGAAAGAAAAGAAAAATTTAAATAAGAATTCTACTACTACTTTGAAATAATATTTTTTGTATAAACATCACGTTTCCTTATTTCGTGATTACAATGACAGACATACGAATTAGTCATGAATGTCTCATGATCAATTGTAATCTATTGCGCGTGTCGATGCATTTTACGATAATATTTAATCAATTGTTATTTAATTCAGGGGTTTACATGGATGTGTTCTCATTTGCATTATCTTTTATATACCATTTTCTTGAATATATTTTCCTGAAGTTTTTACATGATTATAGGGAATTTACATAAATTAAGAATGTATTGGAAATAAATTAGTGTCGTGAAAACAGGTAAATATGTAGATGCAAAAGACGAGTTTGAAATTTTTGTTAAAACGAATAAAAAAAAGATTTCGATGAAGAAAGAAATATTACATTTTCATTCAAAAAAAAAAAATATATATATATATATCTTTTAATGTTATATATAATTCAAATATGTATTTATTTTAATTTCTCCTGTCTCTACAAATTATAATAAATTGCAATTT